GTTTGAGCATCCGTTTCCCAGCAGGATCTGGTGGGTCCAGTGTGTAGCAGGGCAAGGCAGGAGAGGGTGCGGCTCCTGGTGCTTAGCACGGTGGGGAAGGGGGGGAGGTGGCTCCAAAGTGGGTGGAGTTCAGGCATCTATACTGAGCTCCCCACCTGCTGCCCACTTCCGTGGGTGTCTCTCTCACTTTGCTTCTGAGGCTGCTTCTAGCTGAGGTATTCTTCCCATCTTTCTGTTTTTGGCAGAAATTATTTTTGAAATGGAGCCACGGTGCAAAAACTCTTGAGTTTATTCATTCATATGTTCACAGATTAATTAAAAAATACGTCCTGAGCCGCTAACACAGGCCAGGCTCTGTGCTAGGGGGATACGGCAGAGAACAAGGTAGAAGGGGCCCCTGCTCGTGCCATCCGAATACAAGTCAAATGCAGGTCTTTAAGCCGGAGGCCACAGCCTTTCATTCGGGAATCTGGAAACATCTGCTCAAAACCTGTCTCTACGTGCCTTGGAGAGTCTTTCCTCTCAGACCCACAAGAGTAGAAGCCAAAAGCACAGTGACGTCTACCATTGATTGAGCACTAACTACTTTATATATATATATATATATGTACTTTTGAGCACTAACTACTATATCCCTATATTAAAGATGAGGAGACTGAGGCACAGGAGTTTTACCCAACATCACATGGCTACTAAGTTGCAAAGCTAGTATTTAAATCAGGCATTCTGTCTGCAGAAGTTGCCCGTTCAAGTGCTACATTATGGGGGTTCTATGCCCACCAGATACCAGGCATTGTGCTAGGGCTTTGTATCAGCCCTAGCTCTGAACCCTCCTAACTCTGCCAAAGGGTGATGTTTATTCCCAGTTTAGAAATGCAGGAACGGAGGCTCAGAAAAGTTAAGCAGGAGCCCAGGCATACAGAGCCACTGAGTGTCTGTGGTGGGATCTGAGAGCAGTTCTGTTCAGCTCTAGTGGGACTGCCCTGTAGGAGGGAGGGAGCTGGGGAGACAAGAGGGATGAAGGGTCAGCCATGGGGAGAAAGGAGCTAGTGGGGGTGGGAGGAGTCTGAGGGAGAACAAGGAGTTCTCAGAGTGAGGTGAAGCAGAGCAGAGTGGACACCGCAGGAGGTGTGAAAGGTGACGGCCTGCGGAGAGAGCACTTTTCTGTGTGGAGCTGTGCTCAGAAGGCGGATTGCAAAGCACCAGCTAAGGAGTGAGCGTTCTATGAGCCTGTGGAGGTCCCCTTGTCAGGCAGTGGCTCCTTCCTGAGGACATGAGAGAGGGAAGGGCGCCTCTGATCATGGGGAGACTGGGGTCAGTGCAGGGGCCAGACCATGTGCACACATGCGTGGAGAGTGCAGGGATTGTACCCAGAACATGAAAGGCCTGTTCTCAAGGAGGAGGGGCCCTCTGTTTCTAAGATCAGAAGAAAGAAGGAAAAGTGGGTACATCTACAGAAAAATTCTCAGGCAGTAGTGGTCAGGTGTTAGGGTGATTTGTAAAATGGGAATGCCCAGCTTTGTCCTTCAAACTTCCTCCATCGTGAGGCGGCTGTGTTTTCTGGGGCTGCCATACAAATGACCATAAACCGTGCAGCAGAAATCTAGTAGCTCACAGTTCTGGAGACCAGAAGTCTGAAGTCAAGCTTCACAGGGCCGGTGTCCCTGAGGGCTCTGAGGGAGAATCCATTCCAGGCTTCTTTCCTAGCTTCTGGTGGTTGCCTGTAATCCTTGGTTGCCTGTTCCTTGGCTGGTAGACCTATCACTCCAACCTCTGCTTCCATCTTCTGGGAGACAATACATAGTATTCTCTATGTGCGTGTCTGTGTCCAAATTTCCCTCGTATAAGAACACCAATCATTGGATTAGGGCCCACCCGAATCCTGTTTGACCTTATTTTAACTTGATTACATCACAAAGACCTTATTTCCAAATAAGGTTACATTCACTGGTACTGGGAGTTAGGGCATGAACATATCTTTTAGGGGGGTACAATTCAACCCAGAACAGGGCACAAGGGACATAGTGTGTGGGAAGGTGTCCTGATGGGTATAAAATGCTACAGAAATACAAGGTCACTGGTGAAAGGAATGCTAAAGTTAAATATGTTTATAAAGTCAACTTTTTCCTCCAGAATTTGTGTTTTGCATAAAATGCCATAGTTTCCAATAAAGGGTTTGCTGAAAGTAGTGTCCATCACTGGGAGAAAATGCTCTTAGCAAATGAGCTTCCTCACTGCATTCCTGGAAGGCTTCCAGAGAGAAAACACACATGCTACCACCATCCTTTTAGGGGGCACTAGGACACTATGCCTCCCTGCTGTCTCAGGCACCCTTTGGATCAGGACTCAACAGTTGGTTCTAACCATAAATCAAATAGTCTCCAGCTTCTCCTCCTCCCACGTTCCTCCTTCTTCCCATCCCCTAGATTTCTTGTTAATCCAGGTAAGAACAGAGGTCCTGTCCTTCAGGTGTGTCCTGAAGGATGGATGCCTTTGCGGATGATTTCGGCCTCTGCAGTTGCTGCAGGGGAGGTGGTGGCCAGAAGGGGGAACCATGTCTCAGGGGTAGGGGGGAAGGGACAGCTAGAGGGAGCCTGTCTAGACCCTGGCACTGCGCAGTAGCCAGCCTTCCCCTCCCCTAGAACCTTGCTCAGCTAAGAGAAGTCCAGACTATCTGAGCAGGGAGGCTTCTTAAAAGAATTTAGTTCTGTCATTTTGGAGTCCATTTTTGGTCATGGAAGCCTTAAACAATTTATTTTTATTTATTTATTTTTTTAAAGATTTTATTTATTTATTTATTTGACAGAGAGAGACATAGTGAGAGCAGGAACACAAGCAGGGGGAGTGGGAGAGGGAGAAGCAGGCTGCCCGCTGAGCAGGGAGCCTGACTCGGGACTCGATCCCAGGACCCTGGGATCATGACCTGAGCCCAAAGCAGACGCCTAACGACTGAGCCACCCAGGCGCCCCGAGGCCTTAAACAATTTAATCAAAGCTATGGACCCCCCCATCCCAGAAATACATGCATGTCCACAAAAATGTTCACATAATTTCAAAAGCTGCACTGACACCCTCTAGCTTATTCATGAACTCAAGGCTAATAACCCCTGATTAAATACACTCTTCCCACCTTGTTTTCCTGAGGAGAAAAGTGAGATCAGCCAGAGAAACTGATTTGCTCCCACGTTGCACAGTTATTTAAAGGGAAATCCAACAGTGAAGTGCAAATTCTGGTCCCCTTGTTTCTAACCACTATGTATATAAAGTTTGTTTCCATTAAATAAAAATGACTCTTCCCCTTAAAGAAGCAGAATCTTGGAGAAAATTTTGCTTTTGGAGGCAGGAAAGGAATGCGGGGGGTGGGGGCAGTGGAAGTGAATGTCAGGAGTAAAGGCCCCCGGGGCCCCTAGCGTTTGTGACTGAGATTCATTCGGTCCAGCACAGACATTTGCAATGGGCCTGGGATCCCACTTTACACTAGTGGGGTGGGGTTGCTGAGAGCAAACAGTTGGGACTCTAGCTTTAAGGACCACCTCCTGCATTTGGGAGGTAAGTGGTATGTGTCTGCAAAAGGCTATAAAGGAAGGCAGAAGAGTTCTGGACTACAGTGGGACTGTAGATCCTCACTGAGGGCGTCAGGGTACAAGGTTTCTGTAGTCCATTGATTTGCTGCCTTTGAGACTAGCTAGAATCTCGTGGTGAGTCTTGCCAAAAAGATCAAGGGCTCCACCGCAAAACCCCCACCACTCTCTTCTTCATGTAGCAACACATCCCCTGCTCCTCCCAAGATCCAAAACCCCTCTAAGACTCTGGGGCCAAGCCGTCTCAAATGGGGGTGAGGGCAAAGATCCTGATTAACCGAGACTCAGGGGAGTCTATTGGGAAATTCTCTAGGGGTTCCTCGGAGTGGGGGAAATCTCACAGATTCTGAGGGGGTCTTAATTTGGAGATGTCCAAATTTAGCGGACTCCCTCCTCACTTGTGTCCAGGCTTGTATTTTGGAGTTCTCAGATTAGAGACACTGGATGCGGGGCGGGGGGCATGGTTTTGTTTGAGGCCGTCTCCAATAGCCCGGGGGCTCGCCGTGTGTCCGGCGGAGGGGGGGCTGGGGGTACTGGCTGCTTCACGCGAGTCCCCTAACTCCGCGTCCCCACCCCCGGCTGCGCCAGGGCCTCGGGGCCCCGGAGAACGAGCGAGGGAGCGCGGCGTCCCCGCCTCCCGGGCGGGCCGGGGGCGGGGAGGCGGGGAGGCGGGGACCCCTCCCCTTCGCCATCCCCTCGGGACCGGCCGCCCGGACGCTCGG